GCTTTAAAAAGTAATGATGGTTCTGATCTAGAGAAGTCGACTACCACAGAATAAACATTGAGTTGATAATTTTAAAAATCATTGAGTGTATTCTTGATGAAAATATCAGGGATGAGATGAAACGATAATGTTACAATAACGTATAGTAAGCACGTTCAAACATATTCATGTATGTAAAGAACAGATCAGAACGATGTTTATATATGTCGAGAGAATATTTCTTTCATAATATTGGCTTGTACTTGTCCATGTGACATAATTTTTAAGGGTTGTAATCCAAAAACGGTTTACAAGAACGTTTATATTGTACTAAAGATTGATTTGACGGACGGAAAACGAGTGTGCGATTAAGGATTACACCTCACGACATTTTTTAAACTTTCAATGGATACACACCGCTAAGAATAATGCAAAAACGAAAGTCTTACTAAAAAATCTTCCAACTAAATTTCATCGTATATTTTAAAAATAAGATCGAGAATAATAACGCAAACTTATATCTGAAGCTTGTCATTTCAACTGTACAAGTATAAGATACACAATTTTATGATAGTATCTATTTGGATTTGGATCGTTTGAAGCTTATAAAAGAACATTGTTTTTTATTCTGTAAGTGCAAAGAATAGTTAGTTGCTTTTAAATTTAAATGGTTTATGCACGTAATTCAATATAATAAATTTGAAACTCGAATCTTAAGCTGATAATCGTGTACTCTTTGTTTATTGTGTAAGTTTGTAGTTTCAAGTAACCATTAATGTACATTTTCTCATTTGCCCGGCCATTTGTTTAAATGATTGTATTGTCTGCAAACATACTTGCTGAAGATGATGTCGGTAGATCGTTTCTATACAGCAAGATCAAACCGACCTAAGATTAGAGCCTTGTGGTTATGATATATATTTACAACAATAGAAGCGCAAACAATTTTACCACTAGTTGTTTGATTGGATATTTAACTGGGAATTAAATTTCCCAGGCAAACATGATGAATTAATATTGGCAATGAACTCCTAAAATATACCCAGGTGATACTCAGATACCAAAATAACATGAGCGTATCATTCAAACAGGGGAGAGTAAAGAGAGCTGCATGCTGGCATGACTAATAATGTACTGACTGAATTCTAAAAATGTTAGCAGTTAAGGCCATTACAATACAGAATGTCCATTTTTTTTGTCTGCATCAACACTGATGCAGCCTACATGTAGTTGCCGAAGAAAAAATACAGTACCCCACTTAGATTGAAAAATTCCCATGGCCAGAATGCCGTCTTGTCATAATGCCCGAATTCGTAGTAGATTGAAAATAATGACCAAGCACATACCCAGAGTAAGGGTATTATTCGACTTAATGCACACTTTCACTGTTCTGAGGAGGTATGTGCTTGTAGGTAATATTAGGGTAGTAAGAACTATCTTACTAATATTTGTTCGATATTTGTGGACAAAGAGGATGTCAAGTTGTTAATGGGAAGATTTAGTTATTCTGTTGAAGCCCTTGAGCATTTTGAGAACGACGAGAAGGATGCGGCTAGACTTGTTTGAAGAACTGAAACGTTTGTTCAAAGCTGTAAGGAGGAAAACCCAGAGTGGTGTTAGTTTACAAAATGTAGTTAATAAAAAAAGTCAATAGCATTGCAATGCCGTTGACTTTGCATGTAAATTACATTGAATATGGCTATATTACGTGCAAAAATCATGATATAGCCGCCTGTAGCTTTTTTGCGCATTTTTCTAAACATTTTGGGATATCTCGAATCATATTTACATTATGTTCTTCGAACACAACGCTTGCTTCGTAGGCTCGTAGCTACAATTGCTCCGTTGCGTGAGTTCATAAAAACATCTCAATGTCCAAGCCTTCAATATTGTTTGCATTTTTATGACGTCATTACAGATGTGCATGCGTCGGACGATGCCGTAAAAAATAGTGAATCGCATTATTACCAAAGCCCTCTATTATTACTGTTTATTTGAAAACCTTGTCTATCCGATCTAATGCTCGTCTTTGTATCACGACAATGTTTTGAATGGTGTAAACATTGTGATTATGAATTTCATATGTCACAAAAATGTATGTGCATAATCGGGTACGACAAGCATCACTGTGCAATTTTTAGACGGATTTCGATTCGGCAACACTTTTGAGTTAATTATGCAAAAATGGCAATTGTAAAGCAAGCACGTCATTGTCACCAAACTAAATTATGATAAGTGCAAAGAAGAATATCTCCTAATGGCAAATGCGTTCATTTTACTTGTTACCTATTTGATTCTCGGATGGTGCATTACAATTTCAACAGGTGAGTCCTTCATTTGTTTAATATTGTCTATGGAATACCCAAAATACAAATTATTGTAAAATAATACATTAAAACATAGACATCAACTTGGTATAACCATCTTACTGAGCATTGCTTGAAGTGCACGGAGTTTCAATTTCTGATTTTGATTCAACAATAGAGGAGTTTTATTGACAACCAGCACCATTAAAATTCGACTATATTTAAAGTAAAATAATTTCATATTAACATTTCGCCAGTCGACCATGAAGTCACTAATGATATCTCGTAGCAGTGACAATTTCAAATAAGATTTTTTTTGTGTATGGTTATCCAATCAGGAAAACTACGAGTCCCTCTCAATTCAACAATATTTTAACACAATCCTAAAGGGAAAAATATGGTTCAAAAAAAGGCCAACGGTCCAGTTAGTATTGTTCTTGAGACAACAGTGCAGAATTTGAATATTTTGAAAATGTGTTCAAACACCATAAACTAACTTTATTTCATTCAAATGACCTGACAAGAGGAAAGCTATCAAAATAGGAAAGCGATATTTCAAACACATTATATATGTACGCAAAAAGATATAGATGACTTCGAGCGCATGTGTCGGTCACTATCGTTAATATAAATTCGACGTGTTAGTGCAAGTGTGAGTAACAGATTGAATGGAAGCGATATAATTACGCGGAACGAAGGGAATGTTTGCGCAAATAAATAGAGCTTTTACATAATGCCCACAAATTTAATCAACACAAAAGACGGAATGAAATTTTAGTCAAATTGTTGGTAACGAGGTCTACTAACAAGTATACATATTTTCAGTCGTTTTGAATTAATGACTACGGCTCAGTCATGCACCATAAAGAGCCTAACCTGATTTAAGGATTAGTTTCGTTTCGATACGTTTCGGCTGTGTACTGCTTTGCGCAGTCGTTATGCTCGTAAGCGATAAGTTGAGTTAAGGTTTGCGTTACGTAACATTTCACCGTCGTTAATAAATATATATTTAAGTATATACTCGATTATTATATGACTCACACAATATAGTAGGCAAAACAATAATCTATGACATAAATCTTGCGTTTTACAGGTATTCAATGGCCTAACAGCAGTTTTGGCTTGCCAAGTACGTATTCTGGATGTCCTGGTGACTTGAAAAGTGGTTGGCGTGAGGGATGGAGGTTGCAGGATATGGAGAATGATGATAAAAATCATGACCTTCGTTCAAAGGCATCATTGAAGAACCACTTTGCTGTTACGTTTAGACTATCAAAAATGGATATTGAACGAAAATTTTGTATGTTGGATCAAATAAGCAACAATTCGAAGTCTTGGCCACGGGGTAAGGCCTAGTGTTGGTTTATTTTCCATAATAATTGCACTTATAGTTTGGTTTCACAAGATATAGATGTAATGCAATGATTACTTCCAGAATATTTTCACATTTTGTATGCGTGCAATTAGGTTAAAGTTGTGGGCTTTGTTACTATCCATTTATATATATGATGGTTGACCTAGTCGTGGTCTGAAATGGATAACTAATACCTCGAAAGGCCCAACGAGAATCATAGCTGAATATAGAAACGAAATATAGGTAATATGTTTTAGCAAAACTGATCTTTCGTCAAAGAGACGCACGTCGGTCTGATCAAATGGAATCTTTAATCGTCGAAAGAACAGCTGATTTTTTTCACGTTGATCAAATGGAAATATGGTTAGACGTTCAGGAATGTTGAATATCAAGGCAAACCAATTTCACCTGCGACCATGCGACTGGTTTCGACGAATCAAAACGCATTGAAAATTATTTATACAATCAGAATCATTCTATAATTTTGCACATATGCCTTAATGATGAAGTGGATTTTGAGCGGATATCCCTTCGATTATTTATGACTAATGCTTACATGATAAAGCCCCATCAACACGTATTCGGATATATTTCTAGCCGTAGAGTTTTTGTTGCGGATCAGGTTGCGCATAAAAATGTTTCTGCGTCCGCAAGTAGCTTGATATTATCCAAATTTACTATAGTTCCCAAGACTTGCGCTGTCCGTTTCCCGCACATATTTTGAAATTGTTGCAAATTGGCGGTAAATTGGTTGACAATTTTGAACTCAGTCGGTGTGCAAAAGTTGTTCGGTTTTGTTTGATGAATATATATGTCATAATTGGGAGAGAAATCGAGATAAATTGAGAGAGCAAGACGGACTCTTTCATTTGGACTGATGATGAGGTTGAACTCTAACTTAAAGTCACACTCAAATTCAAAACATCCAACGCTATGGAGAATGTCGATTGGAATCAATCCGAAGCAAATATCAGGCAATCGTGGTCAAAAATATCCGGATTTACCGTCCACACGAATCCAAATTGTTTGCAGATACGAAAATTTTACTCTAGAGAGCGGATTTAAAAGGCTTATCCGCAATTTTTTTGTTGCGGATACGAAAATATTCGTGTACGTGTGGGCGGGGCTTAAGTGTTCACCTGCACAATAATAATATTGGGTTTTTTGCACGTAATGTTTTTTAAGCAACAGTTCCCTTTAAGCAAATGATAAGGCGACATTTGGCTGATGTAAAATCTAAAATATAACGATCTACGACAAATATATTTGTTTTAGCATTTGCAACTGTTAAAAAAAAACACAATTTGCTTTGCTTGCAAAGGTTTCGCGCAAGGAAAACTCATTTTTTATGCGTTACTATCCTAGACAAGTATTACCATTAGTACAGTCTCTGCAACTATTTTGCTCATTCACTGAAAAAAAAGTGAACACTAATTAAATAGAATTAAGTTTTTAAAGCAATGAATGAAAATTTTGCTGAAAGATTTCATCGTACGAGTGTTATAGTTCAAGTCGGCCTTTGCCACAGTTCATTATAGATTTTTCGATTGCAATTTGCACACACATGTAGGAAAAACTGAATCCTGACCACTAAAATTTGTAATGTTAAGCTTACCTATTTACGTTTACTTTTCAAGGTGCATATTGTGTTTACAAGTCAAATAATGCTTGTCCAAATGGTATGAGTTCTGGTTCTGTGAAATGGGACGATGAAGATGATTGGCCAAGAAGAGTCAATGATCGAGGAGGACAGTTACCTGACGGCACTTATGATAGAGACACTACTATTAATTATTGCTGTCGAACAAATGGAAACTGGTATGATTCCATTGAATTGCCAGTTATGAAACCTTTTTACTTGTTGACATCCAATTCATTGTCATCTCCCAAATGTCAAATGGTAAAATGGGCAACAAGTCAAATGGAGTATATTTTATTTGATACGGAGGATGACAACAATAGTGATAATCTTTCTGGAAATCATGTTTTGTTGAAACTTTGATAGTTCTGGTCGCAAAAGTTCTACTATTGTTATTACAAAGGTAATGGTCTCTATTTTCTTTAATTCCATGTAGAAAACATGAATTTAAAGTTCTATAATCATGTTTGTTATTCGTCACGATAAATCGTGAAATGACCATATAGCTATGGTATCGGTTGTATACAGCTAAAAATATTTTATTTCTAACTTTCAACAAGGATGCCTCTTTGTCTACTGGCAAGAAAGAAACGCTTTTTCTTTAGACTGTCGGGTTTCTATCACTGGTCTCAGTGGTCGAATTTCATCGCATCAGACAGCCAAAAACGATATGGATCCACACTCTCAATATTGTTCGTGGCTTATTACTACAGCAAAAACATTTGTCGTTTCCATGAAATTCTCGAAATTAAATATCCCACAGTGCAACGATACATTTCTCAATATTTACAATGGCCCAAATGATACCTCTCCTCTACTTGGTAAATATTGTGGAGAAAATGCAACTGCAGGAATGGAAATACGTTCTTCAACAAACCATTTGTTTATTGTGGGTAACTCTGGTAGCTATGGCTCCCATCCAAAAAGTCTGTTTGCCTTTCAAGCATATTACAAAGCTCAGCTTTTAGGTTTGTTGTTATAAAACATTTATTGACTATGAAATATTTGCGAGGCCATTACAAATTAATGAAGCATATTTATATGATGATAATCATATTACTTTGTTATTTCGTACTTAATTTAACTCTACACATTGCTGAATATGCAGTTATTTAACTTTTGTAGTGCGTTTCTTCTACTGATTTTCCGATATTTTTTAATAGTAAAGTTTTTTTATTTACTTTAGGCTGTACTCGCACATACACTGCTCAAAGTGGCTCAATATCTTCACACGATATAACCCAAAACGAAACTGATCTAAACTTTCAATATTGTTCATGGCTGATTATTGTAGAAAAAGCATTTGTCATCTCATTGAAATTTTCTATATTACATATCCCACAATGCAACGATGCATTTCTTTCTATTTACAATGGTCCAAATGATGCCCCTCTACTTGGCAAATATTGTGGAGAAAATGCAAGTGCAGGCATGGAAATAAGTTCTTCAACAAACTATTTGTTGATCGTGGGAAACTATGGTGGCAATGGATCTTATCCAAGAAATGTGTTTAGATTTCAAGCACATTATATTGCTCATTATTTGTCTAAAGGTTTGTTTTTATGCAAAACATATGTATATGCGATACGAATGGTTTAGCAGGAAATTGAATCTCAGAGAGCTCCCAGCATGCTGCTCATTCGAAAGTTTATGTTTTATTTAGTCTAACACCCATTTCATATATCAGTCAGTGTACACGATTAAAATTCTTTTCAGACACAAAAAAAGAGCCAAAAGCTACCCTGTGATGATACAAAACTGAGAGACAATATATTTGTACGTGGCGTCATTGTAAAGAATTCCTGCAAATTATATTGATATTGTTTTCACGTACTTAAGTACTTAAGTAAAATTTCAATAAATTGATGAAAACTTCAGCACTTTTAAAATTACAAACGGCCTGAAAAGGGAAAACTCTCATATAAACTCTGAACTCGCTGGCATTGTTTGGTAAATAAAGCTAAGAACTGGATATAAAATGTAGTTCATCTTAATTGTTTTCTTTCACAGAAAATGAATGGCCAACTGGCAACTTTGGTCTACCGAAAGCTATAACAGGATGTCCTGGTGATGCGAAAAGTGGATGGCGTGAGGGATGGAGGTTTCAAGATATGGAAGATGAGGAATTACGTTCAATAGCGTCACCTGAAAATCACATGGCTGTTACCTTTCCAATTAGAAATGAAAGATTTGATATCAATCGAACATTTTGTATGTTGAATCAAATGAACAAAGAAACAAGACCTTGGCCTAAAGGTTAGTGAGGCCCAAAGGTTTTTGTCATTTTTTTATAGTTTTGCCTTCGTCTCTGATCTATGAAGGGATGAAGACAGCAAGAACAAGTGCATATTGAGCATATTGTCATACTTAAAAGACAAAGCTGGACTTCACATGTATTTTGTTTATAACGGGCGACCATTCATATCATGAAAATTCCCATATGACATACTTCAAAATAAATTGTTCGTTTTATGATCTTTTGTGATAAAATTTGTCAAAAACTGAGAAAGAATTTATTGTTCATGGTTTGCTCTACCTTTCTCTCTAAATGTTATGGCTATCTTCAGAAAAATATATTTAAATATAAACCGATCACCATAGCCATCAATTCTATAACATCTTAAATTACAGTTATCCTAATCATAATAATTCCGTCATACAGATATCAATCAATTCACATACATTTTATAATTTTTCAAAGGTTTGTATTGTCTCTATAAGTCGAGCAACACTTGTCCTGATGGTCTTAGTTCTGGATTTGTAAGATTGGATGATGAAGATAGAAACAATAGAAATGACCTGGGAGGACAGTTACCTTTTGGCACCTATGATAAAGACACTGTTATTCATTATTGTTGTCAAACAAATGGAAACTGGTATGATTCCATTAATCTGCCGGTAGCAAACCTTTTATTTGCTGACATCTAATTCAGTGTCATCTCCCAAATGTCAAATGGTAAAATGGGCAACAAGTCAAATGGAGTATATTTTATTTAATACGGCAGAAAGTAAAAATAATGATCGTTTTTCTGGAAATTGTGTGTTCCTAGATAAATCAGACAGTTCAGGTCGCACCAAATTATACTATTGTTACTATGTAGGTAAGTATTTTTTTATTTCACTCAAAAATATTTAAAAACGGTAGCTCTTCATGGCTCATATAGGCATCTGCTTTCCAGGAGGCCGTTTAGTTACTACATTTACAAATTTTAATACATTAGTATGTATGAAATACATTAATGCTTCATACTAAATAAAGATTTTGATTATAATTTTGATGTATTAAACAATTTATTGCATTAGTATTTTGCATGCAATTCAAAGTCTTATTTCTTCTTACATTTTTCAAATCACATATGTCTCTGAATAATAATATTGTCCTTTTTTGAATGGTCCAAATCAATGTTGCTGTTTCATAATCCTACTTGCATTCTTTTTCATAACTTAGATTGTCGTGATTTAGTTAGTGGTCCCAATGGTTCTATATCTTCCCACAACATTGCACAAAACGATGTGGGTCCGCACTCTCAATATTGTTCATGGCTAATTACTGTAGCAGAAACGTTTGTTATCTCATTGAAATTCTCGATACTGAATATCCCACAGTGCAACGATACATACCTCAATATTTACAATGGTCCAAATGATACCTCTCCATTACTTGGTAAATATTGTGGAGAAAACGCAACTGCAGGAATGGAAATACGTACTTTAACAAGCCATTTGTTTATCGTGGGTAACTCTGGTAGCTATGGGTCAAATCCAAAAATTGTGTTTGCCTTTCGTGGGCAATACAGTGCTCAACGTTTTTTTGAAGGTTTGATTTTGTTATGGTTTTATTTATTGAATTTATCATTCATGGTTTCATCCGCGTTTTTTCGCATTGCTCATGACCACTTTAATGTACTCATTTTACGAATAATATGAACACTAAAAACTTTTTGAATTGTAGAACAAAAAATTTAAATTGCTCAAACTGTTCTCACATAGTGTTGCATTGAAATCGCATCGTGATAACAGCAGAATTTGTAACTGTGAATTTTTGCGATTTTTTGATACTAGACTGCCATCATGACGTCATTGTTAATTCTGGAACCATAAAATCACCAGTTGACAGTCCTGTTGGTTATCCTCGTCGCTCTAATTGTTCTTGGTTAATAACTGTTGATTTAGATGATATAATTATTTTGAATATTAATACCTTAAATATTGGAAATGACGTTCTCACTATTTACGATGGAATGAACTCCAGTGCGCATGTCCTGGGAAGATTTTTTCGTCACAGCAACAATATCGATAACAACACTACATTGTTGTCATCGACCAATAATATTTATATTTTATTACAATATGAGAAATTTTCAAATTTGAAAGAATCAGGTTTTGTTTTGGAGTACAAGAATCAACAAGTACCAACAGGTGTGTATAAGTAATAGGATTTATTTTAATTCTCACATTTTGTAAAAAAGTACGTTAACGTTTTCAAATTAGTATTTGAAATTAAACAAAGTTTATGTTTAAAGCGTTGTGAAGTAGTAAACAGTAGTAAAATATTAAACAAATCGGTGTAAAGTAGTTTTGTATTTTTGAATCTTTTGGTGAATAAATAAGTGTAATTATGGTTAACATATGATACAGACATTATAATGTAACACTTCATTATTTTCTGTAGAACCACTACCGTCACCAAAATCTTCATCTGATGAGTCAACTATTGTCGGTGTTATTGCTGGAGTATCTGTGGTTGTTGTGTTTGTTATTATTATTGTTGTTGTTGTTTGCTTCCGTAAATCAAAACAAAGTAAGATATTATATTTTACGAGATTATGTTTGCTGGATATGAGGAACTATTCAAACTCAAATGTTTTAATATTAATTTTCTATTCATATTTTGGGAGGCTTAAAAAATTTACCATTGATTGATTCTACATTTCGGTTTATGATTGAATATTTTTAAGAAAATTATGGTTTGGCTAAATGGAAAGAAGAATATAATTCTCAGTACTGAATTCTTAATGTTTTGAAAAATGTCTTTTATTGATTGTGATATTTTTATACTTCATTGCATCCGATCATTTTTCTAGAGAAAGAAAATCATTTGCCGCAAATTCAGCTAAAGAATAAAGTACAAGATGACGATGGAAACCACATATACGAAGCACCACCCGATCTAATCGGCAACACTCCCAACGGTACTCCAGACTCAAGTGAACAGAAGCGTTATCGAACCATTAATAAAGTTAACGTTCCTCTTCCCGAGCTTCCGTCACAGAATGAAGACAATGAAGGTAAATCAGATAAATTGGACTACGTTGCAGTGATTGAACCACATTATCAGCCATTGATTCATCAAAAAAAGCACGTTCCCCCTGAAAATTACGACAAGCACACGTTACAAAGTAGTAGGTTTAAAAAAAGTAATGATGGTTTTAATCTGCAAGAGAAGTCAACTACCACGGAATGAACATTGTGTTGACGATTTTGAAAAAGTCATTCAGTGTATTCACTCGATGAAATATGAGGGATGAGAAGGTAAAAGTCATGTAATAGTAACGTATAGTAAGCACGTTCAAACATATTCATATGCGTAAAGAACAGATCAGAATGATGTTTATATATGTCGAGAGAATATTTCTTTCATAATATTGGCTTATTCTTATGTAACATAATTATTAAGGGTTGTAATCCAAACACGGTTTACAAGAACGTTTATTTAAAAAATAAAAGATGTTTGCTGTGTTTTTACCGGCTTATGCAAACCGAGGAGACCTTTGGGAACTCGAGACTAACAAACTTTTCCAAAGTTTGCATAAACTAGTGCAAACATGAAAACATCTTTTATTTCTTTATAAAATAACAATAATGCAAAACAGACAAATTTAAAGTAAACTTTTTAATTTTTCATCTAAAATGTATTCATGATCGATTTGCAAATTGTCTTTGATTGATTGATTGTTATGATTGATTTAATTGGTTGAGCTCAGATGTGTTTTGCACAGGCTAATGCAACACAGCTCGAGACCAATCAGCGCACGCGTTCATTGTGTTTAGTTACATATTACATCCAAACAGCGACTCGTTTTGATTTACATAAAAGATGAATTTTAATACTGAATTGAGTTTGTCAATTTTTCGCTTATCAACTATGTCACTACATGTTGTGATCTTTAATAAAATAAATCAAACATTTCACTAGTTCTTCAACGCGGCTTTAATCACATCAGGTATTAATTTTATCATTTAATTCTTATAAATTTTAATTACATATAACATCTTGGACTTTGTTCAGGTGCCAGTCTCATTTCATATGCCAGTGGTCTTTTCATGACAATATTGTGAATGGCGTTTGTTCTCAGTTCGTACAAACGTTCTAGTAAGAATCCTGGTAGACATTCAGTTTTGTGAACGTCTTCTTCCTAGTTGTTATATACAATTATTATTACCTACAAATGTGGAAAACTGCAACTTTGTTGAATTTTGAATGTAAATCTGCTTAATGTAAAAAGTGGTGCATAACTTGAATAAATACATGCAAGATATGTTGTTTGTGCTTATGTACACATAAATGAATTTTGAGTTGTGTATTTTTGATACAAATATGCAGAAGTTTTGGTTTGCAATCTTTGTGAGAGATATGCGTGATAATACATTGTTGCTTCCGTATACAATGTCCAGTCCTGCAGTTGTGGTGTACGGCTTGACTTTGGCAAACTTTTTGATGGACCTGCCTATAGTAGTTGGCATGTATTATATCTTGATGCATTTCGGTTACGTCATGTCATGAATATATGAAATTGGCCCCCTTCAAAGCCATGATTTTACTAACCCTTTCATTCCCAAATTATTAGCCGTTGCCAAAAAAAATTTTTTGCGCTACATATGCATAGATATAATGTTAAATATGTCATGAATTTCATTGCTAGTCTAAAAATTTATATTTTCATGGAATAATAATTTTTTTTGCCAAATGGCAACATTGGGAGTATAGTGACATAGCTCTATACTTAAAACTCATGTTTATTGATTGACATTGAAGTGTTATAATTATTTTACCTGTATTAAAATCCATAAAATTAACTAAAAATACAATTGACAGTGAGGTTCCCATTTACTCCAAGTAAAAGGAAAAAATATGTACAAAGTAGCAATACTACAAGTAAGAAATATTTACAACTATAACAATTTTACTTTTTGTGATACTTCAAAAAGCAATTATTGTTGTTATTCAAACACAAAGGCACTTCACATTTGATGCATTTTATTCTGGTATAGCCTTTAATGCAGTTTTTGCAGCGCAATTTATTTTGAATTTGTATGGGCCAATGGGAAAAACTGTCATATCGTACATCATTGGTTGGGTTTGGTGTAGATGCTTTTAGTTTCTTGTTTTGAATTGGCTGGCTGGGAGAGTTAGATGGTCGACCATGCTTCGTTTGTAGTTCGTTTCCCTTTTTTGTCATGGAAGAAGCAATCTGTGCTTGAAATTCTCTCAAGGTCAACAATGACTTTTGATTCTTTTGTGTTGTTTTGCATGTTGCTGGTACAATAGCCAGCCATTCACCAATGCAGCATTCAAACAATACAAAACTATTCTCATGTACCATTTCTTTGACTGTAAATTGATGCAATATAGTTCAATAAGCATGTCTGCCAAGTCAACTCCTCCCATATGGGCATTGTACTCCAGTACAACATAAGGTCGAACGACATCAATTTTCTTCTTTGCTTTACCACAGTATCGCTTGCATATTCCAAGTGGTTCAGGACCATAATGGGATGACACAATATGTATTGGCTTGCTGTCATACCACTTAACAATTGTGACACCTTTATCATTAGACTTGTTATCATAGCTTCCTCGCCCATCTTTCTTCATTTCAGAAATTCTTCATTTCAGAAATCTTCACAAAGAAATTCTTTGTCTGATTTCAGTTGACAACCTGCCATTCGATCCTTGCGAATAGTGCCAACTGCCCAAATGCCTCTTTCTTTTAACATTTCTACCAACTGCACTGATGCAAACCAGTTGTTGAAATACATCTTGTAATCTTTGTGATCTGCCAAATTTTTGGTAAGTCTGAGTAGAATATTGCCAGAGATACCTCATCATCACCATCATCAATGTCGCTTACATCTGATATTTCACCATTAGGACAAAAAATGAGCTCTACTGCTTCAGTCAAATCCATAACTCTCTTAAAAAAGAATAAAAACATCAGTTATAGAAAGGAAATGCTTAGTTTATATTCAATTAACACTATTTCTACAGTGACATCTTCCAGAGATTAATCTGCCCATTGTTGCCATATGGCAACAACATTATACATTAGAAAATCTATGTGGGCCGATCGCGCTTTTAATAAAATAATTGCTTAAATATGACGAGGACCAATAATTTAATCAATTAATATTTTTATATATCTCAAAACTAACATATTATAATTAAACTTACCTTTGAAAATGCGCAAAAATTTGCTCTCACTAACTTCCGTAGGACACCATGTGTAATAATCAATTAAACTAATATAAAAGCAAATTTACGAAGATTTGCCTCACATATCACATCACCCACATCAGTACCTAAAAACCATAGATATAGTAGGTCTAGATTACTGACGAGCCGCCATATTGCGTGACATCCATGATAAATCCAAGATGGCGTGGGAACCGGGCAAAAAACATAGAGTCACTATAGGGCAATTGATGTTTTTCGCAATTTACTTCTTCTCATTGTTTTCAAACACTTCCGATGAAGTTTTATTGGAAACAAATCTTTATTTCAAGTGTTTTGAAACCATATTGGACAGTTATAATTGAAATACGGGTGAAAATATCGCTTTCGAAATATTGTGTAAATTGGTCGTTGTTGTCTCAAGTCGTTTGTCCACTAAGAGAAACAGATTTTTCCAGCTTTAACTCCCATACTGATTTGTTGCGCATCGGAATATGTCATGTTGACAATTTACAGAAAGATTGGGGAATCAATCTGAATATTTCTGACAAAAAAGCGACTTATTCGAGACAGCACTCCCACTGTACTCGTACTGATATGTGAGATTCAAACACGGTTTAGAAAAGCCATCCGACTTTGAATGAATGAAAAGAGGAGCAAGGAGATACATAACACTGCAGCACTATTATCTACTGACAAGATCTTATTGAAGCTATTAAAGTTAGTAAACTTAACTGAAGGAAACTTACCTCATCTCAAGTAATTTTATCCAGGAGCATTGGCTATACTGATGAGATCTTACAGCTAAGTGGTTCAACGAAAGAGAAGGAACTTATGTTCAGAAGCTTGTTATATTAACAGTGGTTATTTCAAAATCTGACATAATTACATTCAAACACATAACCCAAGATACTGTTGCAATACTATTTGAGAGAGTTATAAAGCTCTGTATAAAGTATTTTTTTACCAGAGCTAACGTGTTCATTAAATTTATATATTATCTTATGAAATATTTGATATGGATGTCATCGTGGTGGCATATCCAGAATGAATGTTTTACACTTGCTATGTAAATTTCAGTGCATCATTGCTCATTTCATTAGAAATCTATTGTTTTTTTTACAGTGAGTGAACACAGCAAGATTGAGATAGCATGAGCAAATAAAAATGCTGGCTATGACTGAGATTATTATAAGATATAGCTGTGAATAAAACATATGTGACTTTTATGCTTATCATACTTAGTTATAGTATATGTTTTTATTATGCTATAGCTACAACACCATCTATGATACCAGTTGTTTCCAATGGCAATACAATTTTATAAATACAAATGTCTAAATTGCATCACATTATTAACATGCAACTAATGACTTCTGACAAAAATTGTATCATACTGCTCAGTTGGTTCATTTTATGACACTTACGTACAAAGATAAGTAAACTACTGATATTTCTTTGTTCAATACATGACAGTCCCAGGAACTGCCAACTGCTCTGTTGTAAGTGAAAGCAAGCTAGCTGAAGAGACACAAAATGTTGATAGGAGAGTTGCAGCATTATTAAACAGTTCCACTCTTTGGCATGATGATGTACTGACCTATATTAGTGGATACATAGCCTAGAAAATTACAAGTTGCATCAAGTGTGCTGAATGTGCAACTGCCTTAACCATAGAGAATGATGACCAACCTCTCATACCTGACCACTCATACTGTCATGAAGGTTCATTAAAGTCAAGCTTAACATCTTTCAAGACCTATGGTGTTTACAAGTCCATCCTCCTCATTGGTAAAAGTAGGAAAAGCAGCAGATGAAGCCCTTCGATGAAGATTAATTTTCCCATCTTTTTGTATGTATTCAATATCATGTATTTCAATGTGGACGAACAATTATGGGAACTAAAGCAGAAGAAATCCGTTTAGTTTGGTAGACAAACGCCTCGAGACAACCAAACGACCAATTTACACAACACTTCGCAAGCGATATTTTCGCCTGTATTCCAATAATAATTGTCTAATATGGCTTCAAAACATTTTTAATGACGCTTTGTTTCCAATAAAACTTGATTGGAGGAGTTTGAAAACACTGAAACGAAGTAAACTGCAAAAAACAACAATTGCCTCATACTAGCCCAAATTTTTTTGCCCGGTTCCCGCGCCATCTTGGATTTATCATGAATGTCACGCTGCCGTCTTAATCAGAGCCCTCTATAGAGGGCTCTGGTCTTAATAAGTCTTATATTACGTCACACTCGTCAGCGATCTAGACCTACTATATCTATTTACAAAAAGGTGTTAAATTACTACTAAAGGAAGCGGTGTCGAATGGATACATGATAAGGAAGTTAGGAAGTGAAATAAAGAGAAATTAAAAGAGGTTAAGTGGAATGGAGTTTCCTTGCACATTAAGTGAAGGCTTGTGTTTATTGATTAGAAGGCTTTCATGAATGGAGAGTTCATAAGTATCATTGGAAGAGGAGATTATTTTAAAGTCGTCTAAGTTGGGGATGTGCCCAGTAGCGTTAATGTGAGCAAGAATGCTTGATGATGCAGGGTGGGAAACTTGGTTGCCTGTAAGGGGGGATATTCCCAAGTGCTCCGAAAATCTGGTGTGTAAATGACGTGTGGTTTGACCCACATACGAGGCGTTGCAGCTTCGACACTTGAATAAATAGACCACACCAGATCTCAGAGGTTTGGGAATTTTGTCCTTAAAGGGGAAGAAAGAAGAGATACGTTGAGAAGGGCGGAAAACAAATTTAATGGATATATGTGGGAAGGCTGCAGCACAAAGGCTATTGATTTGTGTGCGAATTTGAAGGGAGTCTATGCCGGTGAAAGGAAGACAGAAATAGATGGGCATTTTGTGAGCAGTCAAGACAGGTGGTTTAGGGGCAAAGGTGTTGTTAAGGAAGCGACGTGTGATTTGGTCAATTATACGTGAAGGAAAACCGTTTTTGGTGAGTGACTTTCCTATGCTATATCTATGCTAAAAACGTTTGCCTGATTTTTGTTTTTGGGTTTACTTCATGTAAGCTATGTAGCATAAAAAACAATGTTGCCATATGGCATCTTGGGAATGAAAGGGCTAAACCGCACTGCTACCATAATGCTATTATAATCATTCCAAAGATAACACTGCTAAATGGCAAAGATGTTTATTGTAGTTGTTATTTATTTGATTCTGGGATGGAACATTTCATCTTCAGCAGGTGAGTCAGTAGTTATAATTGCTTAAGAGTCGGATTAAACAAATTAAATATAATGGTCAAATGATCAGAACATCGACATCGACATGTTATGATAATTTGTGACTTTGATTAAACAAACACAGTTATATTCTTCACACAGCAACACTTTGCCTGTAATCGGCTTATATATTGTTTCATTAATCCTTTCGCCAATCGATTATGGTGTCAATACTCATTGCAGTGTTATATTAGTGTTATAAGTCAACGATGGCGGTAAACGGGTCTGCCCATTGAGTTCTATAATAACTGGAGCGGCTAACTTTACTGGGCGAGGATGCCAAAAATGGCGGCCAACGGACGTATTTCCGCTGAAATGATCGCTTTGCAGAAAATAATATTCTCGACCTCCCCCTGGTGTCTATAGTAAATTATAAAAATTTTTCAAAAACAAACACGATATCACAGAATATGGATATCGTTAGTTCCATATTCTGTGACGATTCTTTTTTGGCGTTTCTTTTATAATGCCAACACTTCAATCGTTCAATTGTTGCATGTCGTAGTTTCCACAAAAAGGAACATATCGCTTCTCACAGGTGAGGTAGTTGTTTGTTTTGTTAGTCCATCAACGATTGAAAAGCAATTATACATGCACTTGAAAAGCCATAAAATACATATTAAAGATCGTATTTTTTAAGATTGACTTGAACGCCAAACATACTGATGTTTTCCTGTTTTTGTCTATAAAATTCTGCATACTTTTCTGTCATTTGTTAATGCATGAAATCGTAAATTTATCTATCTATTTGCAAAATAGTTTCCCTAAAGCAAAAAAGACCCTGCACACATTTTGCTCTGTGAAAAGTATCAAAAAGAAATGATCAGCCCCAACAGTACCCATGATTTGGAGCAGAGCTTGTTATGTTCTATTTGCTGACAACATGCAGGGAGGACCAAGGAGTAAAGATGACTGGAAGATGTTATTGACCAGGCAGAGTCTTAAAAAAATGATAATGCTGTAAAGATAATTGATTTATTGTCTTCCTTATCCACAGTTATTTAATTTGATCATAGTCAAATTCTATGGATGGAGACAATGGATTCACTAATGATGCCTTGAATGCTTTGAAGTTAAAGTTCATGAACCAAAAAAAGATGGCAAGAAGGTTGTGTGTGTTTTGATGCTTAATTAAATGTCAATTCACAATATATAAAATGGAAAGGCCATAAAGTTTGTGTCTATGTAAACATTTGTACTGAGATTGATGATGACTCGATGCAGATGTGAAGCATCAAACTGTTTAAGCCATTGGGTTTTATATAACTTAATGTTTAAATCATGTCATATCTTTATCAAAATATTTTAGTTGAGTGTTGTTTAAATGTTACTAATATCTAATGCACTATACTGAAGCATTAAAGATTCAGTGATGAAACCTTTAAAATTACTGTACTGTATATTTCTTATATATTTCTTATATTTCTTTAAGAAACAGTTTGAGCTTATTTACCTATTAGAGTACAGAATGGAGATTTATCATATGCATCATTGCTGCTTTTTTAAATAAATGTTTTTCACTTTTCAAAGCTTTTCTACAAAAATTGCTTCTTATTTCTTTTCATGAGATTGATGAGGTAATATAATCCAATAACTTTATAATTTCTAGAAAGCTTTTAAGCCTTGCCTTTTATTGCCTTGCTATGACATATCCATATGCATTTCATCATTCATGTATGAAGAAAACACCAAATGTGGATACTCAGAGAACAAAATGCACTACCAACTGCTTATGAAATTTATTATTGAAGTGAAAACTGTGTTAATCATTCAAATTGTGCAGTTATATTGAAAATATAGGAAAAACAAAAAAAGTGAAAAAGAAGGGTAGAAGTATTAAAACTAAAAATAAATTATAAACACCATTGGAAGCATAAGTGTTTTGATGATTATTTGCATTTTGTCCAATTTATATATCAATATAACAAAATCAAAATGTGCTACAACTTTACAAGTATTTGATGCAGTTGCACTTCAGAACATCACAAAAAGGTTACTTAAAGTAATTTCTATACAATATTACCAAACCTATGCAGACTTGAGTCTTTTTGAAATTTAATATGAAACTCAATTACAGAAAATCTGTAAATATCCAGAGATTTAATATTTACTTTTTTAAAGAAACATATAAAAATCCTACAATTGTGGCGAAAAAAGCCATTGCCTTTCCACGAAAAGAAGCAAAATAGCAATGATAACAAATAAGCTAAATTCTCTCACGTGAACCACTGTGGAGATGAGCTATGATATACTTTTTTGTATAGACTAAAGAGTTTAATCGATCAAACAAGTTTGACGCTGGTAAGAAAACGACGCATGTCTGCATTCATAGATGTGTAGCCGACATATAGCTCTTTCATCGATAGTTATAAATACATCCTCGTAGGAGCCGATAACTGGAAAGCTAGGTTGACTCGCTGTTACGAATTGTAGGTTTTTATCGTGATTTTCATCAAAAAATTGCTTGCCGAATCCCAAATACACACATACATTTTCTTCACTCTTTCTTCAGGAGGGAGTGGGAAATTATGAAATTTTCGGAAAAGCGGTCGATTTCGGTAAATCTCAGCGGCAGCGGACGAAATCCGCCATTTTTTTGGCATCATCAGATATCTAAGGCCGCGCTTCAGATAGCCGCTCCAGTTATTATAGAACTCAATGGGTCTGCCCAGCGGCAGCTACAACAAAGATGGCACACATAGATATAGACCTACTATATCTATGATGGCACACGAGTGTTAGCTTATCTGACAAGGAAAGTATGTGTAAGTTGATCTAATTGCGTAAGAAGCTTCACAAGGAAGGTCTTTACCAGGTCAATAAATAAGTCATTATCACCGTATAGTGATTACAGTACAGAAACTCCATTGAATTTTTTCAGGACGTAACAGAATTTGATTATAAAAAATGGAAGAGGACTCGTGCTTACTGCTTACGCCTATACCTTCATGTGGATATAAGTATTGCACTTTTCGAGAATGTCACAAAGTAAAACGCTATATGATTGCATAAGCGGAAAATTTCAATTTATTTTAAACTGTCTCTCATATCCTTTACACATACAGCATCAGATTAGAAAAGTCTTAAGTGCGCAAAGACACTTTGGCAAAACCACTCACTGCACCGAATCACCGATAGGAACCAGAGCCCTGTATTAGCAGAGCCCTCTATAGTATAAGAGTTGGGACATCTATTGTTATCCGTTTAGCTTACGTTGATTGGGCAATATTGATCACCTGATCAATTTCCGCCATTTTGGTTCCTAGTTTTGAAATTTTAGCTTGTGTTTATATAGTAATTGCTGCTAGTAATACAGTATTTTGAGATAATATTGCGTTTTTTTATGGATAAGTGTGTAATAACTGATTGTTGAAGGCTACTAAATGTCATTACATATCGCATAAATCGAGGATTACGAAAAAAATGAAAGAAATGCCTTTACGTCGAACTTACGAAATTTGATTGCGTATGGTGATTGTTGTGCTGAACTGCTTTTGATATAAGGTTCAATTAACTGACTCAAGTAGAGAAACATTTTTGGGCCAAATAACATTGCAAAGTTCGTGCTGATGCAGTTTCAATAGTTTTCTTACTCCAAAGCTTGTTTTTTAATCGAAGATGATTTCTCATTATGTTCTGAAATTGGTCAATCTACAAACCTCTCAATTCTCAGCCACTTCCATACTAAAACAACTACACCAAATCACAGAAACTCTTATGATTTTCCATGTTGCATTTTGTATTTTTAGTTCATCATTTAAAAATGAAGTAATTATAATTAGGATATTCAATGAAACAGCTGAGTACAATATATTTTTGGTATTGAATTGTACAAATGTACCCTACTTCTGTAGCTCAAAGTAGAACATTACTTCTCTTCTAGACTTGTTGATGATATTTTGGTTTATAAGATCACAGAGGCATATCTCCATAATTTCAGCTATTTGGGCTTTTTAATGTATATTACAACTGTTGCTGCCTTTCTCATATATATTAAAATATTGCCGGCTTTCTGATATATATTTAGGTGCTGCTAGCTTTTTGATATATATATTTCACTGGCAATACAAGGCATAGAATTTGCACAAACGGGGCTGAGCTCCCTCCAACACACCCCTGTTTGATCATTAAACACATATAGAAGTTTTGTCATTCTTCAACCAATAAATTTAACTCTTTGCTAAATTAAAGATTGGATCAGACTCATATGCTGTATAAAAGACTACAAACAGTAGCATTTATAGCAAACAGACTGTTCTTCAACAACAGAAATGTTTCATATTATAGAAATAATATATTCATTTTAAAGAAATGCTTCACCAAAATTTTCAGCAGAATCCCTAACAAACTTTATTAGAAATAAACTTTAATACTTTATAAAGTGATGAAGGCGAAATAACTTCATATACAGGAATAAAACGTTTAAGGTCAAATGCATCTTGGTCAAATCATTGCATATTTCAATAACTAAAAAGTAAAAAAGTCTGTCATTTTCTGCTGAGCAAGAAAATTTTGCGATCTTTCAGAATAAAAAATATCATGCTTGGATTAAATTGGGGGGGCATAAATCACTCACTACCATTAAATTGTTACAAATCTTGAACACAAATCTCTCCGTACCAAATCTGCATGATAACTATGATTCAAAGTTTCGAACAAAGTCTTGTCCAAGTATTTGATAACACTGATGCCAGGATAACATTGCCGCTTGCCACCAAGCTTAAAGATCTTGAAAACTTGTTACAGAGTCCGAACATAAGCCGAGAAAACACGTTCACGTACGAAAAATACTTCTTACAATGGGTCACGATCAATTTGAAGCACGAACTAGTAAACCGCAAACGAAGCTCAAACCAATGAAATTAAATCAGGTCTGCCGCAAATCGTTAAAAAAAATGCAAAGAGCTTGCTATTATTCCTAATATATTTGATACTACCATGGAATAAGCTTAAATTGCTTTCT